GGGAGAATCCAAAGTTTGATAATTGACCATGACCTGCTTGGTAGTAATTTTTGCAATGGTAGTAATTTGTCAGCGAAGAAATTGTGTGAAATGGAGCAAGCATCAAAATGAATTACATTTATTGATTGTGTGTGTGTGTGTGTGTGTGTGTGTGTGCCACTGTATGTGTATGGAGGTCCAAGGACAACTTGTAAGATTTAGTTCTTAACTTCCACCATGTAGTGCTTGGGGGGACCAGCTCAGGTTGTCATACTTGGCAGCAGGTGTGTTTACCTTCAGGGCCATCTTGCTGGGCCAGGCATTATATCTATATCTATATCTATATCTATATCTATATCTATATAAATTTTTTAACACGCATAGCAGCATTTAATTTTCTTATATTTGTTAAGACTTGCTTTGTGTCCTACAATGTGGTTACCATAGAGAAAGCCTATGGGCTGCTTATAATAATGTGTGTCTGCTGTGTTTGGGTGAAATATTCTTGATGACAGTCAGTCCATTGGTGAGAGTGTGGTATTAATAACCAAATATCTTTTTTTTTTAGGCAAATCTGTGCCTTTACACTTCATAGTGGTTTTTTTTTTTCCCAAATACTTTTGACGTTTTTGGCCTTTGGAACAGAGTATGTTGCTAAGAGGCCCAAGGACATTTTGACTTTTAGCCAAGAAACTGGCTACTTTTCTTGGGGTCTTTTTATCCTGTCAGTCATTATTATTAGCAAAACAGCAGTCCATTATAGTTGGTTAAGGGTTTCCCATTCAAGTTCACAAGGGCTATATGCTGTTTAATTTTTTTCTACTTGTCGGGATTTGACATTGGGATTATACTGGCCTCATAAGATGATCTGGAAGTGTTCCTTTCTCCTCTGTGTTCTGTTGGTGATGGAACATGATTGTGTTCTTTCTTCTTTGAATGCTTGATAACTCACCAGTGAAACATCCCTGGGCCTTGAGTTTTATTGGCCAGAGAGATGGATTTACCTTTTAAAACTGGCTGGAGAGATGGCTCAGCTGTGAAGAGTACTGCTCTTCCGGAGGACCTGAGTTCAGTTCCCAGCATCCACAGTGGGGACAGGAGAGGAGGCTCACCAATGCCTTTAACTCCAGCTCCAGGGAGATCTGATGCCCTCTTACGGCATTTGTATGCAAATGCCTGAACTTGTGCGCGCGCACACACACACACACACACACACACACACACACAAACAAACACACACTCACACATACACTTATAAATAAAAATAAAAAAATCAATTTTAATAAATATAGGGCTATTCAGGTTTTCTATTTTATTATCCTAAGATTTAAAGGTTGTGTCTTTCATGAATTTGTTCATTTCACCAACATTTTCTAGTATATTTTTTAAATTTAAAATTTTATTACTATTATCATTGTTTTTTTTCTTCTTTTTTGAGACAGTGTCTCATACTATTTCCCAGGCTGTCCTGGGATTCACTCTGTAGCCCAGATTGGTCTTGAAATCATAGCAATTCTCCTGCCTCAGATTCCTGAGTGCTGGGATTACAGGTATACACCACGATGCCTGGTGAACATTTTCTAATATATTAAGAAAAGATTGTTGGTAATATTCCTAATAGTCTTTTATTTTTTTGAGACAGGGTCTCCCTGTAGCCCCAGCTAGCCTGAAACTTGCTATGTAAACCAGGCTGGCCTTGACCTCACAGAGATCTACCTGCCTCTGAGTGCTGGGATTAAAGGCGTGTGCTACCACACTTGGCTTTAATAACCTCTAATACTTGTAGAATCTACAGTGGTGTCACCTTTTCATTTCTGAAATTCATAGTTTTCATTTTCTTTATGTTTTTTCTTTGCATGTTTTTTGAGACAGGGTCTTGCTGTGTAGCCCAGGCTAAACTGGAGCTTGCTCTGTGGTTCAGGCTGGCCTCTAACTCACCTCCCAAGTGCTGGAATTCAGGCATGTATGTGCTACCTTGCCCAGCTTGACGAATCTTGTTGGGGCTATAACCTTTCAAAAACTGAATTTTGAGTTTGGTAATTTTTTTCTATTTCTTGTTTTCTGACTAATGTACCATGTAACATCTATTTTATCTTTATTATTTATTTCCTTCTACCAGCTTTGTGTTTATTGTGTTCTTTTTCTTGGTTTTATGAGGTAGAAACAAATATTTTTAATACTTTCTCTTTTACTAATATAATCATTTTAAAATAATAACCATTGTTTTATGATGACTGAATGCCACAAATATTTAAAACATCTTTTTATTTATTTTTGGAAAATTTTATACTTGTATACAATGTATTTTGATTTTATCCACCCCCACTCCCTCCCTCCAGCCTCCCCTGGAACCCTCTAACACATCTCTCCCTAAACTTTACATCTTTTTTTTCAAACTTTAAAAAAATAAAAAAAAATTATTCTATGTGTATGCATGTATTGCCTGCATGTAGGTGAGTGCACCTGTGTCATGCAATGCTTGCAGAGGTCAGAAGAGGCTGTCGGATCCCCTGGGACTGGAGTTACAGACAGTTGTTAGCTGCCATGTGGGTGCTGGGATTTGAATCCGGGTCTTCTACAAGAACAACCAGTGTTCTTATCTGCTGAGCCATCTCTCCAGCCCAAACTTTACATCTTTTAAAAAATATATTAATAGCATACTGAGCCCAATTAGCACTGCCCATACACACGGACAAATCTTGATTAATAGTGTTTTCATCATTATTGAGTTAAAATATTTTTTCTGTTGTTTTTTTTTCTTTGATACATTTGTTTTATAGATACATATTACTTTCCAAATATTTTAAGACTTTTGTCGTTTTAGTTGTCAGCCTTAGCTTCTAACAGCTGAACTATTGCTCAAGGCCTATTTTAGGACTTTTGAAGATATCTTGTTTGGGTTGATTCTATAATTTAATTCTTTTGAGGTCATAGGCTATGGCATATGGGATTTTAGGCTCTGGAAATATGAGGACATTTGTTTTATGCCCAACGTTTATCTTGGTGAGTATCTTTATGTACAAAAAAAGATGAGTGCTCTATGGTTGGTTGACAGTATTTGTAAATGTTAATTAGGTCAAGAGATTTGATAGTGTTGTAAAACTAGTCCATACGTTTAGTAAATTTTTGCTTAGTGGATTTATCCCCTCAATTTGTCAATTTTGTTCTTGTATTTTGTTTTATGCTGCTGGGGACCAATCCCAGGAGTTTGTTAGAGATGTGTGTGTTAGACAAGTGCTCTACTGCTGAGCTGTACCTTTGTTGCATGCTTACATCTTCGTTCTTCTTTCCAGAGTGATCAGGCTACACGCCCTGCCCATCTGGTCATATTTCTCTGTCTATTTTTATCTGTTTTGTTTAGATTGGATGCTTTCTATTGTTCTGTCTTCAAGTTCCCTCACTCTCTTTTTGCTCCTGAGTTCATACACTGAGTTTTAATTTTGATTATTCTAGTTTTTAAAGAATATTTAGGTCCAGCCAGGGAATATGGCACATTTTTCCTCTTTTTCTTGGAAA